TCCTTCTCTTCCCTTCCTTTCTCTCTTCCTTTCTCTTCCCTTTCTTTGCTTTCCCTCTTTCTTTCCCTCTTTTCTTCCTTCTTCCCTTCCCTTCCTTTCTTCCTCCATCCAGCTACTATTAAACTGCTTAGATTGTTCCCGTGGGGGTGGGGGTGGGGGTGGGGCAGAATGGGGATTTTAAGAATTTTAGCCGAGATCCAGATGGAGAGAGGTATCAAAAGCGGAGTGGAATATCAACAGCAGTTCAGAGCTTCAGAGAGCTTGGCTTCCTATCTGATCTCGCCTTCCAGATGTTGCTCCAGGCCAGCCGCTGCTCGGGCGGCCCTTTTCCCCCGGGTTCCTCAGTGAGCCTTGTCTGTCCTCCCACCCAGGGCCTATTCCTTCCACGTAAGCGCTGATGGGCAGATGCAGCCGGTGCCCTTCCCTCCCGACGCCCTGATCGGCTCGGGCATCCCACGCCACGCCCGCCAGCTCCACACGCTCTCCCACGGCGAGGTGGTCTGTGCCGTCACCATCAGCAATTCCACCCAGCACGTCTACACGGGGGGCAAAGGCTGCGTCAAGGTCTGGGATGTGGCGCAGCCGGGCACCAAGACCCCCGTGGCCCAGCTGGACTGCCTGGTAAGCGGAGCGGGGGCCTCACTTGAGTGCTCCTTCCCCGTTCCTTTCTTTTCCTTCCCTCCTTCTCCTCCCTTCTGTCTTTTCCCTTCCCCTTCTTTCCCCTCTCCCCTTTCCTTCCTTTATTCATCCATTCCCTTCTCCCCTTTCCTCCCTCCCTCCCCCTCCTCTCTTTTTCCTTCCCTTCTTCCTTCTCTTTTCCTCCTCCTTTCCCTTTTTCCTTCCTTCGCTTTCTTTCCTTTTTTCCTTCCTTCTCTTTTCTTCCCTTGCCTCCCCCTTCTGCCTTTACTCCCACCCTCTTCTCTCTCTCTCTCTCTCCTTCATGCCTTCCTTCCGTCTCCCATCTCCTTCCTTCTTTTTCCTTCCTTCCATTCCTCCCTCGTTTGTTGTCTCCCATCTCCCCCATCCATCCATCCTTCCTTCCTTCCTTCCTTCCTTCCTTCCTTCCTTCCTTCCTTCAATCTCCTTCCTTTTTCCTTCCTTCCTTCCTTCCTTCCATCCATTCTTCCTTCCTTCCTTCCATCTCCTTCTTTTTCCTTCCTTCCTTTCCTCCCTCCCTCGTTTGTTGTCTCCCATCTCTTCCTTCCTTCCTTCCTTCCTTCCTTCCTTCCTTCCTTCCTTCCTTCCTTCCTTCCTTCCATCTCCTTCCTTTTTCCTTCCTTCCTTCCATCCATTCTTCCTTCCTTCCTTCCATCTCCTTCCTCCTTTTTCCTTCCTTCCTTTCCTCCCTCCCTCATTTGTTGTCTCCCATCTCTTCCTTCCTTCCTTCCTTCCTTCCTTCCTTCCTTCCTTCCTTCCTTCCTTCCTTCCTTCCTTCCATCCATCTCCCATCTCCTTCCTTCTTTTTCCTTCCTTCCTTTCCTCCCTCCCCCTCTCCCTCCTTGATTGCTGTCTCCCTTCTCCCTCCCTCCCTCCCTCCCTCCCATAGCCAACTGAAAGGAAACTCACCCACCCCAGGTATTTCCCTAGCCTTAAATCTCTCTGGGCTAATCCTCCCCAGAAACACTTACGGTGTTTTATAGCATTAATTCTTCATGCTGACATCCAGATTTAAAGTTGGGCTCTCAGTTTTACCGCCCTCCTACCTTCCCTCCTGCTTTTTAATCCCCACCGAAGGAGCTGGGAACTTTCCTTTTACAATCTCCTCAAGAAAGGAGGCATGGAATCTTTCCCAGAGACCAAATTTCTGGGGGCCCCGATTCCACCCCCCCTGCCCCCCCCACCCTGCAAAAGATGGCGATGCCACGACTTCCCTCCCACGCCCTCATTTTCCTCTTTTCTCCCTCCCAGAACCGAGACAACTACATCCGATCCTGCAAGCTTCTTCCTGACGGCCACAGCCTCATCGTTGGGGGCGAGGCCAGCACCTTGTCCATCTGGGACCTGGCGGCCCCCACGCCCCGGATCAAGGCCGAGCTGACCTCCTCCGCCCCGGCCTGCTACGCCCTGGCCATCAGCCCCGACGCCAAAGTCTGCTTCTCCTGCTGCAGCGACGGTAACATCGTGGTTTGGGATCTGCAGAACCAAACCCTGGTTCGGTAAGGACTCTCGCGAAGGACCGAGGGGCTGCAGGGACCGCTTGGCCTGGGAAAGCGCCGATTCTGGGCTTCAACTGATCACAGACTTTGGCTGGCCGGTCCTCCTCTCACCTTTGGGGTCCTACTTAAAACAGACAGGGCAGTGCTTTCGATTTAATATTGCAATTAAAGCAAATGGTCGAAATATTTCAGTATTGTTCCGACCCAGGCGGAAGCACGAAGCCGACTGCTCATCCTGATAAACCTCTTTTATTTAATTTACAGTGAATTCCACTCCAGCAAAGTCCTGGCCAACAGCCTTTCAAGCTAGTTTACAATGACAGACCTTTATCGGGCTTGGAGAGTTGCCAGGCCGATATCTTCCAAACGCCACACTGTAGCAGACAACACTTGGCCAGGAGTCAGGAACCGATCTTCACCCTAATGAATTGAACTAATTGTCTCCTGCAAACACCACCTCCCTTTCGCTCCTCTTTTATTCACTATGGGAGGGGCCATTCACCGTCCACCTGAGCCTTTACTCCCAAGTCAACTCTTGTTTCTTAGCTGTTCCCTTCTTCCGGCAGCTCTGTGCATGAGCACACTGGGAACAGGCTCCAGCTGTTCTTCTTCCCCACTGATCTCCGACTCCGAACGCAGCTGATAACTGTCAGACAACCCTGGCCCCATCTCTGCCTCTGATGCAGAGCCTTCCCCCGACTCCAGGACTGGCCCAGGTTCCTCCCCAACCTCCTCACTGTCCGAATCTGCTGCCAATTCCGCTGGCTGCTGACGGGCCCCAACACGTATTTCTGGATTGTATCAACGAAAAGGGCACACAAGTGAACATAAAAGGCTGTTCCATAGCACAAAAACAACCATCCAAAAGATTGCCAATTATTTATAGGTTATCTCCAATATTGACAATTTCTTTCTAGTTTGTGTATTTCTAGCAGGCATGGATATATATATATATATACATGTATATATATATATACACACACACTCATGATTCTCCTTCTCCTTTCCATCCTCTTCCTCCATTTTTCTTCTCTTCTCCTTCCTCCTCCTCTTTTTCCCCTCTTTCTGCCCCTGTTCTTCTTTCCTTTCTTCTCCTCCTCCTCCTCGCTGTTTCTCTTCTTCCTTTTCCTCCTCCTCCGCCTCCCTCTCTTCCTCCTATTCTTCCTTCTCCTCATTTTTCTCTTCTTCCCCTTCTCTTCCATTCTTCTCTTTTCCCCTTTCTCTTACGCTGCTTCTCTTCTCCCTCCATCACTTCTTCCTTTTCCTTTTCCATCTCCCTTCCTGCTCTTATTTTTCTCTTGCTCCTATTCTGTCTTTCCTCCTTTTCTTTTCCTCTTCCCATTCTTCTTTCCTTCCTTCTCTTTTTCCTTCTCTCACCGCCTCCTCCTCTTCTCCCTTCTTTTCTCTTCCTCCCATGTGTCTTTATTTCCTTCTCTTTTCCCTCCCACATCTTCTCCTCCTCCTCTTCCTCTTCTTCCTCTTCCTCTTCTTCCTTTTTGTCCTCCCCTCTCACTCCTCCAATGCTCCTTTTCTTCCTTTCCTTTTTCCCTTCACCCTCTTCTCCCCCTCCTCCTCTTCCTCTCCCTTCATTTTCTCCCCTTTCCCCGTCTTCCCTTCTCCCTTCAGACAGTTCCAGGGTCACACGGACGGGGCGAGTTGCATTGACATTTCCAACGATGGCACCAAACTCTGGACCGGCGGTTTGGACAACACCGTCCGGTGCTGGGACCTGCGTGAAGGCCGGCAGCTGCAGCAACACGACTTCAGTTCCCAGGTTAGCTGGGAGGAAGGAGGGGGGAACCCAGGTTGGGGAGCTCAGAAGGATGGCCCAGTTGCATTGGGGACTTGTGGAATTTAAGGTCAGGAAGTCTGTAAAAGGGACAGGTGGTCCTCGACTAACGACCCCAGGGTTTCTGTTGGGAAGTGAGAACTTGATTTGATGTCCTTTCTTGCCACAGTTGCTAAGTGAATCCCTGCTGTTGTTAAAGCAGTTCACACGGTTGTTAAGCGAATCGGACTTCCCCGTTGAGTTTGCTTCTCAGAAGGTCACAAAAGGGGATTACATGACCCCCCCGGGACACTGCGACCGTCATAAATAAGAACCAGTCCAACAACTGAATTGTCAGTCACATGGCCCTGAGGATGCTGCGACGGTCACAAGGGTGAAAAATGGTCCTACGTCCCTTTTTTTCCAGTGCCGTTGTAACTTAGAACGGTCACTAAATGAAACTTGTTGAAGTGGAGGCCAGCCTTCCTTCTGCTCTTGTTAACTTTGTCTCGCATGAAAACCATCCTGCCTTTTATTGGGCTTTCGGTGGGATTGCAACCTCATCCAAGTTTTGGTCATCATGAGGACTAGAATCTTCGAACTGAGTTTGAAGCCTTCTCTTGCTTTTAACTTTGCAATCATGAGGACTAGAATCTTCGTGAATTTTGCTTTGTGTGTTTCAAAGGTACCATCCTGGCCCTCAAACCTTTTAAAGCTTTAATCTTCAACTATCCCCATCTTTCTTTCTCTCTCTCTCTCTTTCTTTTCTGTCTGTCTTTTTTGTTTCTTCCTTCCTTCCTTTCCTACCTTCCTTCCTTCCTTTTTCTTCCTTCCATTTTTCCTTCTTCCTTTTATTATTTCCATCCTTCCTATTCTTTTTCCTTCCTTCTTCCCTCCTTCCCTCCCTCCCTCCCATTCTTCCTTCCTTCCTCCCTTTCTTACTTCCTTCACTTCCCTTTCTACCTTCCTTCCTTTTTTCTCTTTTCCTTCTTCCTTCCATTCTTTTTCTTCCTTCCTTCCTTCCTTTCCTTCTTTCGATTCTTTTTCCTTCCTTCCCTTCCCTTCCTTTTTTCCTTCTTCCTTCCATTCTTTTCCTTCCTTCCTTCCTTCCTTTCCTTCTTTCTATTCTTTTTCCTTCCTTCCCTTTCCTTCCTTTTTTCCTTCTTCTTTCCATTCTTTCCTTCCTTCCTATTCTTTTTTCTTCTTTCCTTCTCTTCTTTTTCCTTCCTTCCTTCTTTCTTTCCTTCTATTCTTTCTCCTTCCTTTCCCCCTCCCTCCCATTCTTCCTTCCTTCCTTCCCTTCCCTTCCCACCTTCCTTCCTTTTTTCCCCTTTCCTTCTTCCTTCCTTCCATTCTTTTTCTTCCTTCCTTCCTTTCCTTCTTTCTATTCTTTTTCCTTCCTTCCCTTTCCTTCCTTTTTTCCTTTTTCCTTCTTTCCATTCTTTCCTTCCTTCCTATATTCTTTTTTCTTCTTTACTTCTATTCTTTTTCCTTCCTTCCTTCCTTCCTTCCTTCCTTCCTTCCTTCCTTCCTTCCTTCCTTCCTTCCTTCCTTCCTTCCTTCCTTCCTTCCTTCCTTCCTTCCTTCTTTCCTTCTATTCCTTCCCTCCCATTCTTCCTTCCTTCCTCCCTTCTCACCCATCTCCCTCCTTTCTCTCCAGATCTTCTCCCTGGGCTACTGCCCCACGGGAGAGTGGCTGGCCGTGGGGATGGAGAGCAGCAACGTGGAAATCCTCCACGTGACGAAATCGGAGAAGTACCAGCTGCACCTTCACGAGAGCTGCGTCCTCTCCCTGAAGTTCGCTTCCTGTGGTAGGGGTCACTCCTTAAAGGGGTTCCTTTCACCCCTTTTTTTAAAAAAAAATATTTTTATTGTGCATTTTTCCTTAATATTCATCACAGTTCCAATTTTACAATGTCGATATGTACTGGTTATATCAAGTCCTTTTTTCTTACATCATAGTATATGCATCCTAATTCAAACTTATCATACAGTATAATCTCTTTTGACTTTCGTCCTTGTCACACCTATTTCTGCGGAAAGATGCACTCACTCTGTGTTTTTCCACTTCTACCCTCAAAACGAGGCTATAGAGCACGGCACACCCAGAACAACTAGACACAAGGGGAGTTCTTCCCCGCCCCGTGCCATCACTCTGCTAAACGAATAATTCCCACAGCACTGTTAAATTGTTTACTAAGATTGCATTGCTATTATTATTCTCATCCTTCCTATAACTTTTCTTCTCTCACTTATGACTGTAGCCCTGTTCCTTATATCTCCATGATTTATATTGTTTTATTTAGTTTTCTAGAATGATTTGATTGCTTATTTAGTATTTTATGACTATCACTAAGTGTTATATCTTACGATTCTTGATGAATGCATTTTTTTAATGTACACTAAGAGTTTATGCACCAAAGACAAATTCCTTGTGTGTCCAATCAGACTTGGCCAATAAAGAATTCTATTCTATTCTATTCTATTCTATTCTATTCTATTCTATTCTATTCTATACTATTCTATTCTATTCTATACTATTCTGTGTTTCTATTTCTGTTCTCTTCTATTTCTATTTTATTTCTATTCTGTCCTATTCCTATTATTTCTGTTCTATTCTATTCTATTCTATTCTATTCTATTCTATTCTATTCTGTGTTTCTATTTCTGTTCTATTTCTCTTCTATTTTTATTTTATTTCTATCCTGTCCTATTCCTTTTCCTTGTTCTATTCTATTCTATTCTATTCTATTCTATTCTATTCTATTCTATTCTATTCTATTCTATTCTAACTTCAGCTTCCAGCATAGCTGGCTGGGGAATTCTAGGAGTTGAAGTCCACCTGTCTTAAAATGGTGGAGTTTGCAAAACGCTGCTGTAACTGATGGATTTTACTGCATATTGCCCTAGAATACCCAGCACCATCATATAGCTAGTTGCAAACACACTCCCTAACTGAGTTTGTCTGAACTCGGGGAAAAAGCTGACCAGGATCAGACCTTGAAGAGACCCCCACAAGCTCACTTCCATTTCTCTCACCTACAGGGAAATGGTTTGTCAGCACCGGGAAGGATAATTTGCTAAATGCCTGGCGAACCCCTTACGGAGCCAGCATATTCCAGGTAAGGGTTGAACCCTGTTCCCAAAATGATGCAAAGCTGTAACTGGTTCGTTTTTAATCTTCTACATTTTATCCTGCAAATTGGAATTTTAGTATAGTTGGACCACGTATAATTGACAGACTGGATTTTATCATCGATGTTAGCTATTATTTATTATTTTATACTAGAATTTTAATTGTCTATTTACTGAGTGTTTCTATTAGTTCCGGTCTCTAGTCTATGACTGTAATAAACTAAATTGAAATTGAGTATATCATCTTCTACATTTTTATCCTGCGAATTGGAAAAGGGGAGGGCCATATCGCTGCTCATGGAAAGGCTATTTTTAAATGTGGCGGTCGTGTTTTCTTATTGATTAAAAAAAAGCCAAAAGGTCGCAAAAGGGGATCACGTGACCCCGGGATCCTGCAACCGTCATAAATATGAGTCAGTTGTCAAGCATCCGAATGCAAATCACGTGACCATCGGGACGCTGCAACGGTCATAAATGTGAAAAATAGTCGTAAGTTTCTTTTTGGAGTGCTGTTGTAACTTCGAATGGCCACTAAACAAACAGTTGTAAGTCGAGGACTACCTGTAGAAAGTCCAGTAAGACAATGGCTACAGGAAGTCCTCAACTTACAACTGTTTGTTTAGTGGCCATTCGAAGTTACAACAGCACTCCAAAAAGGAAACTTACGACTATTTTTCGCATTTATGACCATAGCAGCGTCCCGATGGTCACGTGATTTGCATTTGGATGCTTGACAACTGACTCATATTTATGACGGCTGCAGAGTCCCAGGTTCATATGATCCCCTTTTGCGACCTCCTGACAAGCAAAGTCAATGGGGAAGCCAGATTCACTTAACGACCGTGTTACTGGTTTAAAAACTGCAGTGATTCACTTAAAAGACTTGGCAAGAAAAGTCGTAAGATGACAAAACTCACTTCACAAATGTCTCAGCGACATCTGTTTTGGGCTCAATTGTGGTCGCAAGCTGAGGACTTATCTGTATTTTGTGGATAGGATGGGGTGGTAATAATTTCTGTAAAAATCAGATGGCGTCAAAGGCGGTGAGAACGTTAGCTTGAGAGTCTCTCAAACCAGCGGTTGGGTTGCGGGGACTTTTTTCTGATGCCCTCAATCCATTTATTCGGATTATTCAAGGCAGGAAGAGAACAAAAGGCACTGCAAGAAAAAAGGGTCTAAAAAAAATTGTTTTGCATCCAACAAAAAAGCGCAGCTGCTTTCCGAGTCAAGGTCAACTCTCTGATGTTTTCACTAATTGTGGTTTTTTGCTGATATTGACTGGTTGGGAAACAGGTCTTGATATTTAGGGAAACACTCTGATAATATGCAGAAGAGAACTGGGTGAAAAGTCAAAATATTAACCCTATCGAAGGAAGGAAGGAAGTGTTTGGATGGGAGAGAAGGAAGGAGGGAAGGAAGGAAAGATGAGGGTAGAAGGAGGTGTTCGGATGAGAGAGAAGGAAGGAGGGAGGGAGGGGAAGGGAAAGGAA